ATGCAGTAATGATCTCTGCTGTTGATGGACATTTGAACATCCTCTGGTGTTGGTGCACAGGGGTCACAGTGTGTCAAGAGCAGATTCTGAGGAGTAGTTCTTCTGAGTTAGTGTGCCTTTACCAGATCACTTGTATATTTTTGGGGGAGTGGGGGTGGGGTTGCCAACCCTGGGGCTTGAACTCAGGGCCTAGGCACTGTCCCTGAGATTCTTTTGCTCAAGACTAGTGCTTTACCACTTAAACCATACTTCCATTTCCAGTGGGGTTTGTCATCCTTTTCTTTCCTTTCCCTTCCCTTCCCTTCCTTTCCTTTCCTTTCCTTCTCCCACCCCCCTCTTTACTGGAGATAGGGGTCTCATGGACTTTCCTACCTGGGCTGGCTTTGAACGGCAAACCTCAGACCTGAGCCTCCTGAGTAGCTAGGATTACAGGCATGAGCCACTTATATACTTTTAATCCTGAAAATGCTCTTCAGGGGAAGAATACTATGGCTCCCTAAGCATTGTTCCGAGTGGAGGAGATTAATATGCCTGCCTTTGTGCTGGAACGAACACTCATCCTTTGACCTAGAAGCTTGATCTTCTGGCCCAGCCAGCCCTGCCCCTCCAACACCCACAGGCTGGAGGCCTCAGTAGCTGCAGTGAGGTTCCTCTCTGGCCTCCTCAGGTTGGTGATATACAGTTGTGTGAGGAGGGGAAGAGGTCCAGAAAGAGGAAGTGGAAACCAAATACAAAGGCCGCAGCCAAGTCTGGTCTGCAAACCTCAATGTTTGAGCACTATGCTTTGTGGCAGGAGAATGTGCAAGGTGCTGTGAACCAAGCCTGGGGCTGGGGGCTGTGCACTGCAATGGCTGCCGTTCAACAGGTGTGCAACTGCACCACTGTATACTAGGTCCTCAGGCATGCGTGACTCCACGCCATGCGATGCGCATCCCAACCTCAGACATAGCCTTTGCGTGGCATCAGTGCAGTGCTTCCGGCACAGGATTTGGACCCCCACCCCCATTGAAACTGGGTTTAAAATATGGTTGCATGACTTATTTATTGGTGGTGTGACTTTGGGTTAGTCTGACTTCCTTTAGCCTCAGTTTCCTGATCCTTGAAAGAGGGTTAACTGGCTGCCAAGGCTGTGGAGAGCTTAAAGATGCAACATCTGGAAGGAACTTAAGCTGACTTCCTGGTGTGGAAGCAGAATGAGCGGAACTGAAATGAGCATGACTGTGGTTGACAGCAGGGAAATGGGGGTGAAGGGCTCATCCTGGTAAGCTGGGCTCAGCGTACTGGGCAGGTGGACTCTGACCCAGGCAGCCCTGCCTGAGCCCCGCCTCATCCACCTTTGTCCAGATTGTTCGCCCTCTCTGTGGTCCTTTCCAAGGGCAATGATTTCTGACAGAGGAACTTGGCCTTTGCTTATGTGGAAGCTGAGACCAACTTCAGGGCTGCCTTCTGGAGGCCGCATGAAGCTGGCAGCGGCAGTGGCCACCAATGGGGCAGTGAGACCTGTTGTTAAGGTCACTGGGAGCCTTATTTGGCGACATGGGGTTGACCCTGCGTTCACCTCTGAGAACCCTGGGAAACACCAACCACAGATGTGAAATATGAACATCTCAAAACCACAAGTGCATTTCCTCTGAGAAAAGACAGCTCTTCTCCTTGCCAAGACCTCTCCCTGGATTCTGTCTGACAGTAATGGCTCACAATCTCAAGAGAGAAGGGCCACCCAGGGGCGGGGGGGGGGGGGGAGGGGGGGGTGGGAAGGGGCAAGAGTCTGCTATAGACTAGTCTTGGGCAAGACTGGATGCCCAGAAGCTCAGGGCCTAGCAAGGACCTCAAAGGCTTCTGTCCTCCCCCTGGCCTTGGCCTCCCCTCTGCACTCACCCCTCCCACCCCTGTTCCTGGCCTCACTTCCTGTAGCCTTGGGAAGCTGGCTGGTGTGAGGAAGACGCAGGCAGGGAGGGAGGAAGTTGGGCTCACACCATCTGCACCGGCCTCCACTTAGGTGCAGACGACAGCTTAAACGGTTGGTGGTTTCAGTTTGTCACCTCCCTTTGGTGCATCTTTAAGCTTAACACTCAGTAAGTAAAACTGTGGTCCCAGCCCAGATAAATGTGAGAGGAAAGCTGCGTGTCCGCAGCTCTGAATTAACATGTAAGGGGGTCTCTCATATTTGTACGGCTCCATTGGTTGGGGGGGGGTGGCTAAAGGAGATCTTTGTAGCCACCCTGGCTCAAGTAACAATACCTACTGCTGACAGGTGCTCTCCTATGTCAGGGACATGAATTCCATCACAGAATTCACTGTAATGGCTCCCACTTTACCGAAGAGGAAAAGAACAAGGAAGATTCAGTTATTGGCGTGAGGTTACACAACAGTGAATCAGTGTTGGGGTTTTGTTTTTGTTTTTTACATCTCAGAAGGCTCGATTCCAAAGTTGCCCTTCAAGGTGCAGACACAAGACCAAGCCCCTTTCATAGGCAAGCAAGAGGGCCGGGGCTGCTGACAAGTGTGAGGAATGGGGCTGGGAAGGTGGCTCAGTGGTAGAGTGCTTGCCTAGCATGCATGAAGCCCTTGGGTTCAATGCCTCAGTACTACATACACAGAAAAAACTGGAAGTGGAGTTGTGGCTCAAGTGGTAGAGTATTAGCCTTGGGCAAGAGAAGCTCAAGGACAGTGTGCAGGTCCTGAGTTCAAATCCCAGGATTGGCCAAATAAAAAAAGTGTGTGGTCTGAAGTCAGGGTTCCTTCCTCAGCCAGCACCTCATCTGCCCCACCTGCCTTTCTGTTTCCTCCCTGCCCCTACCAGCTTGTCCTCTTCTAATCCACAGGCCGAAAGTGGCCTTTCTTAGTGGCGCAGGGAGTCAAATGTCCCTTAACTATCTGGAAAAGGTTTTATGAACTCCACCTGGGCAGGAAGGAAGGTAAAGCCAGGGCTCTGGAGGGAGCACCATGGGAGCTGCCTACCCTTACTGCCATCTGCCCTACCAAGCCCTCAGCCCTTACAAAGGGGGCTGGGAACTGTGGACAGCAGAGCTCGGGCAATCTATCTACAGCATCCTCAAGGGAGAAGACTTGGCTGGCCTGGGATAGATCCAGACACTGGCACCCCAGATCCAGACCCCTTGCCAAGCACTGTTCTTCACTTGGATCTTCAGGTCTGTGGTCACTCACAGGACAATTGTTGTTATTTGTATCTAGAGCATGCCAAGAACTATCCTGGCGCTGAAGAAGGGTCCTGGAAGTTTAGTTTGGTAAAGGAAGGCCCACATTGGGCAAATACTCACACAGATACCTGGCAGATATGGGGCTATGAGAGTGTGACCTGAGGGGTTTTAATCTAAGGAGCTGAGTAAGAAACAGGGTAGGTGAGGTGAAGGACAGTGTGGAGTTAGCAGGTGGGGCAGTTTCTGGCTCTCTTCCACTTCCTTCCTCCCCACATTCCAGAGGTTCAGTCCAAGTTGCCCCAAAGCAGTGCCTGGGGCAGTGGTAGAGCTAGATTCCTAGTTAAATTGAAACTATGTGGGAAAAAAAAGTCTTCATTATGGGGGACAGACAAGCCAATGGGGTGAAGGCAGTAGTTTATAAAATGCATTGTCTAAACTAACCAAGAGCCCAGTCCTTTCCTAATGTACCACTGGCAAGAACATTAAACAAACTTTTCCTAGAGAGGAACACCCCCCCCCACACACACACACAAGGGTGGACAGCTAGTGGGCCTGCCTTGCAGCACCACAACTCCTGCATGGCAGGCTGTAGCCTGGATAGCCTCCCCCCCCCACTGAGTATAGCTTCTTTCTCCCCAGGATCCCCCCAGCTACCCCATGAAAAGAAACCTTGGCACCTAGGGCTGGGAGGCTGTGATTTCCAGTTTCAGTTTCCAGTGTCAATGCAGAAGAGGCTCTGGCAATTTTCCGATTCCCTGGTGCCTAGGCCCAGAGATGATCCAAGGCAGGAAGGAATGTCTCAGCCAGCAGCCCTTCCTGGGAGGCTCGCAAGGCAGGAGTGAGAAAAACCCACTGTGTTTCTATGTTGGGGAGAGTGGTCTCTGAGGTCCTGGGTTAGACCCCTTTAGGGATTCTGACATGGCCTGTGGACCCCAACGGGTTAAGTCTTGGCCTAAGAGACCATCAACACCAGAGGTATGGTGTGATCTTGCACCAAGGCACTTTGCAGGACAAGTGCTTGCAAACGTGCACTTCTTTGCTCAGTTTCCCCTGCAGTTCCTAGGAAATAGAGAACCCTAGGAAACCCTGGATGCTGTATTCACACAGCTTCTTCCTTCCTCAGGGCCCTAATTTCCCTGTAATGTGCTAATGTGTAACCAGCCTTCACAGAAACAAAAACATGAAAGAAAAATTCTTCTAAGCCCTTAAATCCTTTTCCTCTGCCCATTGTTTCATTTGTAGCAATTTGTAGCCTAATTCTAAAAAGATCTGAGGACACTCCTTTCATCCCCAGGTGTCTGTGTGTGTCTGTGTGTGTGTCTGTGTGTGTGCCCTATAGGGGTGTGTGTGTGTGTGTGTAGGCGTGAGAGCCCTATGGGGGGTGGGTCTTGCCATGCACCCTTGCCCCAGTTTGATCTTGCAGAGAGCAGGTGGACAGGTCCCCAAATCAGCCTGGCAGATGTAGATCTCACCTAATCTCGATGGCATATTTGTATTTTAGTGTGTCTAGTATCAGTTTTTGATCAATCATTAATCAGAACTGCAATAAAAAGATAATCTTCTTGGGAGACTGGGCTGTAAAGCTCCCTCCTGGCTGCAACATTAAATAAACTTTTCTGTGGAGTCCTCACAATCAAGGGTGTGTGTCTGGCTGGATTTGGAAGCAAATGAAGGACTGTCTCTAATGTTTGTAGGCACAAACATGAACTTCAGTCATCTCCATGCCCGCGGCCTCTTGCTTACCTTTCTGTCAATGTGATGCCTTGGCCCCCAGATCAGGAGGCAAAGCTAGGGAAGGAGGTCATAGCTGGGTCCAAGTGTGGGGTGCAGAGGGGAATCTTCAAAGGGCGTGATAACAATGGCTTGGCTCTGGGTTCAGGCCTATGAGACAGTAGAGGAATGACAGCGTCCAGGATCCAAAAGACTTCCACAACAGAGGTCATGACCTCTGGGTGTTTGGCTCAATCCTGCTGACTTGTCACTGTGTGGTCCAGAGGAGGGCCTGGAGTGAGGAAGTGGCACACTTCTCAAAGGAAGAACGAAGAGGAAGGTGCTGAACTACCTAGGGTGGAGCAGGAGTCAGAGGCTGTGGGAGCGACCCATACTTCTTTCTTATGCAGAGGTAGACCTTCCCCTATCACAGGCTGGAAAAGCAGGATCTAAAGGCTAGGCCCCAGATGAGGCCCAGGTACCACATCCAAGAAGCTGAGCCTAGCCCAGACCAACAGACTTAAAGAGAGTCCGGAGCAATAGCCAAGAAAGGCTTCATCTGTGAGGGAGTGAGAGGCCCTTACTTCTCTCTTCAGCCCTGGTCTTGTATTACTGGTCCACTCTGGATAGCACATTTTTAGATATACAACAGAAATTGGCCTTTTTAGAGAAGCATAAGCAGTGGGGTGCACCAGAGTGCAATCAGCCATTAGAAACACTCAAAGGATTGAAGCCTAAAGCTGGGGTGACCTGGCTCCACAGGAGGAGTCAGGAGCCAAAGGTGAGGAGACTCAAACACAAACACATATACCTCTGCATACATTGCGTGCACGTGCGCACACACACACACGCACTTATGCCACATCTAGAGAGCCCTGGGGAACTTTCTCTGGGCTCACTCTCTCCCACAAAAATACTCTGCTACCTTACTAAGTTGTCTCTTAACCTGTATCCTGACCTCCCCTCTACAGAGAGGACTTAAGTTTTAAGTTTCTGGGGTGCAGTTCAGTGGTAGAATGTGTAGTTAGCAGGAGTAAGCTAAATGAGTGGCTGACGAGCAGCAGACAGCATGGTAGAACCTCATGAGGAAGGCCAGGGAGAGAGGCATGGTACCAACAATAGAGACAGGAGCACATAGAAGGCTGCAAAGTGAGAGAACTCACAAGACCCAGGAGGACAGAATAGATAGTCATGATTGCTAAATGGGGTTGCTGAAGCCAAGGGGAAGCTGGGATGCAGAGTCAGTGAAAGGAATCCCTTTCTTCATCATGGACTCAGGTGGTCACCATGGAGAAGACAGAGTTATCAATGGGCAGTGGGGCTGGGTTGGGGATAGGGAGGTCCCTGTTATTTCAGGTCCAAACAACACTCTTGTCACTGGCTGGGACAGGATGCCATTTGGGTTAGAGGGAAGCCCCCTCCCCTCCAAATCTTCACTTGGACTATTATACACAAGTATGCTACACTCAAAGCAGTTTCTAAGATGGACTTGCAGCCATTAGACATGTAAGACACATCCTAGAGTAGCTTGGTACCCCAAGACTCCAAATTGTCAAGGTTTTTTTTTTGGGGGGGTGGGGTCCGGTCCTGGGGCCTGAACTCTGGGCCTGGGTGCTGTCCCTTAGCTCTTCAGCTCAAGGCTAGCGCTCTACCACTTGAGCCACAGCGCCACTTCCAGCTTTTTTCTTTTTTGCTTATGTGGTCCTGAGAAATTGAACCCAGGGCCTCAGACATGCAAGGCAAGCGCTCTACCACTGAGCCACATGCCCAGCACTAAGGTTTTTTTTTTTTTTTTGTGTGTGTGTGTGTGTGTGTGTGTGTGTATGCATATTACTCCTGGGCTTAATGTCAGGGCCTGGTTGCTATCTGAGCTTTTCTGTTCAGTTACTGCTCTACTACTTGGCGTTGAACTGCAATCCTCAGAGCTCAGCTTTTTGAGTAGCTAGGATTACAGGTGTGAGCCACAGGTGCTTGGTTCCAAATGGTCAAACAGGAGATGCATGGAGGAGGCACTGTTCCATGACAGCGTCCCCTCCCACTCAGTATTGGGCACCAAGGGCACATCCTGTCCAGTCCAGGCACCAGTATCCTAGCCGCAGGTGAGGGATCCAATTCCAGACTCAGCACACACAGCTCCTCCTCACCAACTCCACGTGGCCTGAGTGATACCATGGGCCCACGTGGGGCAGGCCTGGCCAGGCCTGCACTTACATGGGAGAAACCCAGCAGCCTCTCTTCATGCTTCCACATAGGAACAAAGGTCACAGACAGCAGACGTCCCTCAGGCCTGTCCAGGAATATGTTCTACTGTCCCTAGCTTGCCCACAACCCCCACATGAGCTGGGTCCCCTCCACATAGGCCCAGTCACTGGGAAGTACCTGGCAGGCAGCCCTCCACTTCCTCCACATGATTGCCTGGAGGTCCACGGGAACCAGCAAGGGGCCATATTTTTGTGGCCAGCAAATTTCTGTGGCAGCTGTGGGCACTGCAGGCTCTCTCTCTGGATTCTTCTGAAGCTGCAGTCTTCAAGGGTCCCAACTCTCAGCTATGATCTCTTGCTTCTTTTAGAGAGATGTGTCTTTATGTGTATTGGGGATGTGTATGTGTGAAGATTATCTCTGCCCAAGTCTATGAGAGCCCCTATCTAAACTGCTCTCAGTTCAAGGACAGAAAAATCAAGAAAAAAAGGCAAATATTAGTTCAGTTTAGTTCAATTTTTTTTTAACTTTGGCTAGATATGAGAATTACCTAAGGAGCTTTAAAGGAAATGCTCGCATCTAAATAGTTCACCTCATACCTTGGGTGGGGGTGGGGGTGGGGATCTAAATAGCTAACAAACACATGGATAAGTGCTCAGCTGTATTAGTCACCAGAGAAATACAAATGAAGGTCACATAGTAATTATGACACTATGACACACCCACAGGAAAGGCCAATATTAAGACAAAAAGAAAAGAAAATACCAATTGTTAACAAAGATTTGAGGCAACTTGAACACTTACACATCACTGCAGGGACTATAAACTGGCGCAGTACTTTGTGAAATTTCTTGACCTAAGATACTAATGCTGAATTGCCTAGCAATTCCACTTAAGTAGGTACTCAACAGAATCACATACATGTGCTCTCAAAGACACACACCAGAACTTTCATAGTAGCAGCAGTCATAAAAACACCCACCTGGAAAGAACAAACATCAGTGGAACAATGATCAGCCTCCCCCACCAGAATGTCCTATAGCATGAGACTAACCAGACCACAAAAACTACAAGCAACAACTTAAATAAATCATCTCGCAAATAAAACGTTCAGTGGAAGAAGCCAGACAAAAGGATAGATTCTATATGGCTCCATTTTGAGGGCAGGCAAAAACCCATTTATACTATAGGTGAGCCTTTGGAGCCTGGTAGTGATGGAAAGTGGGATACTAGCGATGTTCTGTTTCTTGATCTGGATGGATGCTGGCCATTGGGTTAAATTCACTTTGTGAAAATGTGATGATTATGCTTTAAGACATTTTTTACATGTGCATTTTCCTTTGATAAAAATTTTAGGGCTGGGAAGGTGGCTCAGTGGTACAGAGCTTGCCTTGCATGCATGAGGCCCTGGGTTCGATTCCTCAGCACCACATAAGCAAAAAGAAAAAAGCCGGAAGTGGTGCTGTGGCTCAAGTGGTACAGTGCTAGCCTTGAGCTGAAGAGCTGAGGGACAGTGCTCAGGCCCAGAGTTCAGGCCCCATGACTAGACCCCCCAAATTTTTTTTAATTAATTTTTTTCTTTGAAACCCACATCAATTTGGTCAGCATCTTTGGATGTGGGGGTGACGTCAGCCATCAGGGTTTTTGGGGGTATTTTTTTGTTTGGTCGTGGGGCTTAAACTCTGGGCCTGGGTGCTGTCCCTCAGCTCTTCAGCTCAAGGCCAGTGTTCTACCACTTGAGCCACAGCACCACTTCTGGTTTTCTGGTGGTTTATTGGAGATAAAGAGTCTCATGGACTTTTCTGCCTGGGTTGGCTTTGAACTGTGATCCTCAGAGCTCAGCCTCCTGAGTAGCTAGGATTACAGGCATGAGCCACTGGTACCTGGCTTGGGTTTTTTCAGTTAGTCATGGGGCTTGAACTCAGGGCCTGGGCACTATCCCTGAGCTTTTCTGCTCAAGACTAGCACTCTATGATTTTAAGCCACAAGGACACTTCTGTTTTTCTGGTGGTTAATTGGAGATAAGAGTCTCATGGACTTTCCTGCGGGGCTGACTTGGAACTGCAATCCTCAGATTTCGGCCTCCTGGGTATCTGGGTACCTGGGATTACAGGCATGAGCCACTGTCACCAGCTTCCATCAAGATTTTTAAAAAATACTTCAGGTGACAGTAATGTGAGTTGGGAAAGGAAAGGCATGGATGAGCAGGTCCACTCAAGGGCCTTGGGCAGCCCTGACGAAGGCCATATGCAGTGGGATGGATACTGGAGGGAAGGACGCTTCTTCACTCGTGTGAGACAGGTTGCACAGGCAGAGGTGTTGTAATGGGTTTCTTGCGCAGCACTTCCGTTGAAAGCGGCTGGCCAGCAGTGTGTCAAGGCATATAATGGGAAAGAGGCCCCACTCACCCCATCCCAGGGAAGTGCATCGCTCAGCACAGGTCCAGAAAGCCTCTTACGCAGATGTGGCAGCTGGGCTTCCCTAGGGCGATCACTGAGGCCAGAGGCAGTGCTAAGGCACTGAGAACCTTGGTGAGGTGGGGAGGGAAGGCTGACTCAGGTCGTTGGTGTTCATGGGAAACACCAAGCTCTGGCATCCAGTCTATGCCTAATACTCTTAAGAACTTGCAACATCTTGCTGAGGTACACATTGGGCTTGGCTCTATTTAGATGACTCAGCCAGGTGCCGGTAGTTTATGCCTATAATCCTAGCTACTCAGAAGGCTGAGATCTGAGAATCACGGTTCAAAGCCAGACCAGGCAGGAAAGTCTGAGACTCTTATCTCCAACAAACCACCAGAAACCCAGAAGTGGTACTGTGGCTCAAGTGGTAGAATACTTGCCTCGAGCTGAAGAGCTGAGGAACAGCACCCAGTCCAGAGTTCAAGCCCCATGACTGACAAAAACAAAACAAAACAAAATCAAAAAACCCCAACCCAACCCAAACTAAAACTTCCCTAACTCTCTGTGAGGTTGGTGGCAACCTTCCTAGCAATGGCTGACTTCCATTATATTCTGGTCACACTTCAGGTCTCCTAGACCAGATAAGACCAGACCCAGGTTCACACACAAGTGTTGTGCTCACTGAAGCCCCATCTGCTCTTCCAGGAACATGGCTCCTGAACCTCTCTTTGCTGTGGGAGGGGCTGTGCAGAGAGGCCTGAGCAAGCTTCCTCAGCCCTGGGACCCAGCCTCCATGTGCCCCCTCGTCCAGTCTGTGAATGTCAACAATGGCAACCCTCACCAGCCACCCTCAAACTAGTCCTTCCTATTGTCTTCTTGAAAAAGCATGTAGGAATTATGCTTTTCTCTTGCTTTAGGCAATCACTGGCCAGAGGAGTTCTTAGAAGGATGTGTGTTTAGATGAAAGAAAAACCAGATTGGACTAGGGCCAGGAAATGGAGACAGGGGAATCCAGGGAGTGTCCTGGGAGATTGATGCAGGCTGAGCTCAGAGGGGGTGTAGTGAATTTAAAATATGGTTGCAGGGCTGGGAATGTGGCTTAGAGGTAGAGTGCTTGCCTAGCATGCATGAAGCCCTGGGTTCCATTCCTCAGTATTACAGAAACAGAAAAAGCTGCACGTGGTACTGTGGCTCAAGTGGTAGAATGCTAGCCTTGAGCAAAAAGAAGCTCGGGGACAGTGCCCAGGCCCTCAATTCAAACCCCAGGACTGGCAAAATAATAAACAAACAAACAAATATATGGTTGCCCATTCTCTGACACTTCTCCCATCTAGAGGCAGATCTGTGTCTTTTCTCTTGAATTCTGGCAGGTTTATAACTTGGAAGTGATGTTATATGATTCCTAAGACCAGGTCATAAGTCAGGCAGCTGGCCAGGCATGGTGGTGTACACACACACACACACACACACACACACACACAGACACACGCACGCACGCATGTGCCCGTGCACACCCCCATGCACACCCCTGTAATACCAGATAGAGGTGGCAGTAGAAGAGGATAAAAGGTAGAGGCAGAAGGATGATGAGTTTGAGGCCAGTCTGACCTTACCTCAAAAACAACCCCCAAGCCAGGCACAGTGGCTCACCCCTGTAATCCTAGCTACTCAGGAGGCTGAGATGGCGGTTCAAAGCCAGCCCAGGCAGGAAAATCCATGAGACTCTTTATCTCCAATAAAGCACCAGAAAACTGGAAGTGGCAACTGTGGCTCAAGTGGCAGAGTGCTAGCCTTGAGTTGAAGAGCTGAGGGACAACGTCCAGGCCAGAGTTCAAGCCCCACAACTGATAAAAACAAACAAATAAAAACAATCCCCAAATAAGCAAGCAAAAAGGGCTAAGGGCATGGCTGAAGTACAAGAGCATTTGCCTAGCATATACAAAACAAAACCCTGGGATCAATCCTCAGCACCTCCTCCATTCATCCCACTGGCCAGAACACAAAATGGAGCCCAGAGCTCCCACTTCAGAAGTCCAACTGGGACAGACCATCCTTAGGTCACCAGACTTCCCACTAGAAGCTCTCTGAAGAGGGACCATTGGTGGTGTTGGGGAGGGATTTGCACGCTTTCTGTAGATCCAGCATCACCTCTGAAACGCACATCTCTTTGGGCCAGCTTGATCTCTTTTTTTTTCCCTCACCTTCTATTCCCTCTGTTCCTCTAGTCCTACAGAGCTCTACCCAGAGGTTACACAACCGGTTTCCTTCCTCAAGGCAAATGTACAATAGCTAGTTAAAAACAAAACACAAAAACAACCATTCCAATAGCTATTTACTAAAAGAAAGGATACCATCATGTTGGGTCACGCCTGTCATCCTAGCTACTCAAGAGGCTGAGATCTGAGGATCTCGGTTCAAAGCCAGATCGGGCAGGAAAGGCCCTGAGACTCTTATCTCTAATAAACCATTGGAAGTGGCACTGTGGCTTAAGTGGTTGCGCGCTCGCCTTGAGCTGAAGAGCTGAGGGCCAGCGCCCAGAGCTAGAGTTCAAAGCCCCATGACCAAGAACAAGAACAACAACAAAAAGAACATCATCATGATAGAATATGAATTCCCTGTAGAAAATAGGAAAATACTGAAAATTATTCATGTTTCTACCAATCCCAAGCCAAGCCACACCAAACATTGTTTCTAGGCTTTTCCACAGATTCAAATCCTCTAGGTCCTCAGCCCACACAGACCCCAGCTGCTGAGCACACGTCACATGCCACATGTCACATGGGGAGCTGTCCTACAGCTTCTGCTTTTGGATATGTCAATCTCACCAAACCCTCTCGATTTTACCACAGGTCGGGGCCTGCCCTGTAGGCAGGAAACAGGCTTCAGGAGATCACCAGTTCCCAAGCTGGTTAAGAAACTGGTTGTGCTGAAGAGCTGAGGGACAGAGCCCAAGCCCAGAGTTCAAGCCCCATGACCGACAAAAAAAAAAAAAAAAGAAAAAGAAACTGGTTGTTTTCAACACCCCAGGCTGAGTTCTCTTGCATGTTTTACAAGATTTTTCTAATTTTCTTCATTCAAAAACCACACATCCAATTCTCTTTCTCAGTAAGCTGTGCCTAAAAATCAGTCTACTGCATGCCACAACCCTTGTGTGGGACATGTAAATTTTGGATAAACAATTTCTTCTTGCTGGGCCTTCAAAAAGTTTCCAAGCAGTGAACTTATAAATATCCTTGTTCATGGCCTTCACACAAATATTGATTATTTTATTTATTTTTTGTCACTTGTGGGACCTGAACTCTGGGCCTGGGCGCTGTCCCTCAACTCTTCAGCTCAAGGCTAGTGCTCTACCACCTGAGCCACAGTGCTACTTCCAGGTTTTTCTGCTTATGTGGTGCTGAAGAATCGAACCCAGGGCCTCATGCATGCAAGGCAAGCACTCTACCACCGAGCCACCTTCCCAGCCCCATGTTGATTATCTTCATAGGAAAAACTGTGTAAATTAGAATTGTTTGGTCCAAGGCTAGACCCATTTTGAAAACTGCCCCCTTTCCAAAAATGTCAACACATGAGCACACATACACTATTTGTTGAGGAGTTTTACTAAACTGTCCTTGCTAGGGAAAAAAGAAAGTCCTGGACTCCCTGACATAGCATTTTCTATCTTCAGTGGGCCAGGCCGAGGCTCTGGAGAAGGTGAGGAAGGAGGCCTTTGGAAGGCAGAGACGGAAGGGCATCCTGTGGGTCCCAGTCAACTGTCTCCCCAAGGGAACGACTGTTTTTCTGGGTGTTGTGGCTTCAATGTGTTTTCTCCTGAAACTCTGCTAGAATGAGACTGGTACTGTGGGGACTTTCAGAGGCGATGGGGTCACCGAGGGAGAGGGTTCAGTTCTAAGTAAGCCAATCCAGCCTCTCCCTGTTTTCTCGGCTCCCTTCCACATTCCCTCCATATTATGCCACAGTGCAAGAACCCATGCAAGACAGAGCCATGTGATTTTGGACTTTCCCAGTCTCTGAAACCACAAGCCTAAAAAAAACTTCTTTTCTGTATAAATCACCCAGTCTCAATTGTTCTGTGTGACAACAGAATGTAAACTAAGGCACTCGAACTCAAGGTGGCATGGCCACGTGTGGTGATGCGAAGCGGTCCCCTATCCTCAGTGATGGACTCTGTCCAGGGAGCACAGTTCCCCTGGGCTTTTACTCTGTCTAGTGGCCAACACTTTCAACACCCTAAACTTCTTTGAGGACTTTCCAAAGACTTGAAGTTGGGAAATCCCAATCTAGACAGGATCTTACTGCTCTTTTACCTTGACCTTGTCTTCCTCCATGAGGCTGCAAACTCTGGCACCTGGAGGGGAAAAAAAAAAAAAAAGTAAATGGTGGAGACAACACCTTGAGGATGGGCCTTAGAACAAACAGACTGGACCCAAAGTAAGTAAATGCTGGCCTATCTAGAAAGTTCTTCTAAAGCCTCTGAAATATGAGCGGACAGCACACTGGCCTTGCACTCCAGGGCATTCGGCATTCAGTGGTACAGTGCCTGCCTTGCATGCGTGAGGCCCTGGGTTCGATTCCTCAGCACCACAGAAACAGAAAAAGGTGGAAGTGGCACTGTGGCTCAAGTGGTAGAGTAGTAGATGAAGAGCTGAGGGACAGCGCCCAGGCCCAAAGTTTAAGTGCCACAACCGACAAAAACAAAACAAAACAAACAACCCCCTCCCCATCCCAGATTGTTTCCTGCTCACTCACTTGGAGCCTGCCTGGAGCCTGTAAATGTTCCAAGCTGGCAGAAACATGCTCTTTCTATCCCATGCAAAGCCCCATACAAACATAAATGATCCCTCCATTCAACTTCATAATATAGCCACTCATCAGATATTTACTGAACACTTACTACATGACAAAGGCTATTCTAGGACTTTAGAGGGCTATAGTTGTGGACAAAAGTACCTGCACTAATGGAGTCTATAGTCTCCTTGAGGGTATCAACAACTGAAATAATACCAACAATTTAAATACTAATCATTAGAGGTGGACTAAAAAAAAAATACAGCAGGAGAGGAGGGTAGGGAAGGTGGGAAAGAAGGGCCAAAATGACTCCAGGAAAGGGGAGACACCTGAGAAGGTAGATTAAGAACAAAGACCTAGGAAGAAGTAAGGAGATGAACCCTGAGAATTATTGGGGAAGAAGGTTTCCAGGATGCATATCAAAGGCCAAGGCCTGGAGGGGAGAGGCTGCCTGTTAAAGAGCAGTATGAAGGGCAGTGTAGCCAGAGTAAAGAGGGGGAGGTCAGAGGGGATCATATACATGGTGGGACCAGGCCCAGCACACATAGCACATGTATAAACTGAGGCTTATTCCAACAGTGGAGCTGCTAAAAATAACATAATGTGACTCATATTTTCATAGAACCATGCGGGAGGAGTGTTGTGAGGACAGTAGAACCTGTGAAGAGGATGTTGTATTAATCTCAGTGATGACTTGGGTCAGAGAGGAAACATGGAGGTACAGATGGGGTCAGATTCTACCAAGTGGTGCCCACAAGATTTGCTGATGGGCTGGGAATGTGGCTTAGTGGTAGAATGCTTACCCAGCGTGCATGAAGCCCTAGGTTGGATTCCTCAATACCACATACACAGTAAATGCGAGAAGTGGCATTGTGGCCCAAGTGATAGAGTGCTAGCCTTGAGCAAAAGAAAGGACAGTGTCCAGGCCGAGTTCAATCCCCAGGACTGGAAAAAGAAAAAGAAAAAGATTTGCTGATGGGTTAGAAGTGAGATTTAAAAAGAGGAGTGGATCTAGGTGCTGGTGGCTCACGCCTGTAATCCTAATTACTCAGAGGGCTGCGATCTGAGGATCACAGTTCAAAGTCAGCCCAGGCAGGAAAGTCTGTGAGACTCTTATCTCCAATTAACCACCAGAAAACCAGATGTGGTGCTGGGGCTCAAGTGGTAGAGCGCTTGCTTTGAGTTGCATTGCTCAGAGACAGTTCCAGACCTAGAGTTCAAGCCCCAAGACTGACAAAAACCAAAACCAAAAACAAAAAAAAAACTACCAGGAGTGGAACTGCAGGGAAATGGATGGTCATAAGTACAAACAGCACGTTTTCTCTCATATACAGAAGCTAGATCTAAAATACACCAGGACATGATAAATTACAGAGGACTCTAGGCATTCACACACAGTGAGACTAAGGGAAAATACTCTTAGGGGAGGAACACAAAGGCACACTACCTTTGTGCCTCTGATCATATACAGTATTTATCAAATGAACTCCAGGAAATGGAAATAAGAGCTTTTTGTCTTTGTTGCTGTTTTTGTTTTCGTTCTGTTTTGTTTATCTATCTTTGGGAGGGTAGAGGGAGCATAGAAACGGAGGGACAAGGTGAACAAATGCAGCAGTGATACTCACTAGACCCTATTGTTGAAAATGAACTATACAACTTGTGGATGGAGATGGGAGGGAAAAACTGGGAGGGAGGGAGGGAAGAGGGACACTGTCCAAAAAGAAATGTACTTAACTCCTGAATTCTGTAACTATAACCCCTCTGTACATTACGTTTATTATAATAATAATGGTAATAATAATCACAGGAATGGAGGACTCCCAGGATTTGGGTCTGAGCAGCTGGGAAGGTAGAATTGTCATTTTCTGAATTGTAAAAGCCTGAAGGCAGAGGGCATTTAGAAGAATGTAAGGACCTAGTTTTGGACATGTCAAGCATGAAGTTCCTTTTGGATAGTCACCTGGAGAGGCCCACAGACACATGGAGATGTGAGTCGAGAGTTCAGAGGATGAGGCAGAAATAAAGAATTTAATATAGCTCTTTTTCTGGTGGTGGTGGTACTGGAATGGTACAGGGCCTCACACTTACTCAGCAGGAGCTCTACCCACTTGAGCCACATTCCCAATCCTTTTTGCTTTATTACTGAGCTAGTGTCTTCCTTTTTTGCTTAGGCCATCCTGGACCAGGATCCTCCTTATTACACTTTCTGCCATAGCCGTGATGACAGGCATGGACCACTATGTCCAGCTTTTTCTGTTGTGATAGGATCTTAGGAACTTTTTTTCGCCAAGGCTGGCTTCAAATCAGAATCCTCCCATTCTCTGCCTCTTGAGTAGCTTGGATTATAGTCATATGCTATCATGTCCAACCTTTTCATTTTTTTTTTTTGAGAGAGAGGCTCTCCCTATGTAGCCCAAGGCTTGGAAGCCCGGAACTTGATTGTTCGCCCAGGTAATTTCACAGCCGGGATTACAGGTGTGCATCACAGTGGGCAGCAGGACATAGCTCTTGAATGCCATGCTATAGGATGAGATCCTCAAGAGGGTGGCTGTGAGTAGGGAACGCTCTCCAAGGACAGAACCACATTTAGTAGCTCAGGAAAGGTGAGTAAGGACTCACATGCACAACAGAAGGGGTTTCAAAAAGAATAGACAATGTACTATGATAAATCAAATAATACACGGACAGAGAGCTGACAACGGGAGCGACCTGAATCCTGGTCATGTCAGGTGAAGCAGAATGGCTTCTGGAAGAATACTTGAATACAAGAAAGAAAAACTGGGGATAGAGGTGTGTCTTCAGTGGTAGAGCACCTGCCTAGCAAGGGTGTGGCCCGTGGTTCAAGCTTCATTACCACTGAAAAAAGAAAAGAGACAGAAAGGAAAGCTGAAGCCTTGGATTAGGAGACTTGTGACAAGCAGCAGCAGGATGGTTGGAAACAAAGAGACCAGGGTTGAGGGATCATAAGAGCAACTCTTTCTCCCTTCATTTTCCTCAAATACAAAATTCAGAGCACAAAGCAGGCTCGTCCATGACAACTGTAAACAGTAACTAAATGTTGCTGATGCTGGCCCAGCCTGGTTGCCAATTTCATTCCTGACTCCCATCAGCTAGTTTTCTGCCTGTTTCTAGAGTCACATCCAGTTATTACCATTTTTTTTTCTTAGTTGTGTATAGTAGCCTTAGGACAAAAGTCTTGGGTTGCTGAGCAAGTCCCAGTTTCAAACCAAGAACTGCCCTTCCCAGATGGGAAGTCTTAAAGAGCAAGACAGGGCTGCTGCCCTCATAGACAGGTAACCAATAAGCATATAAGTAGGCAGGCAGATCATTTCCGATGTGAACCAGCTCTATAAAGAGCTCTATAAAGACAAAATGAGCCTAAGAGACAGGATAAACGTGGCAAGACTCCTTCCCCAGTCCTGGGGCTTTAACTCAGGGCCTGGGCACTGTCCCTGAGCTGCTTTTTGCTCAAGGCTAGCACTCTACCACTTGAGCCACAGCGCCACTTCCGGCTTTTTCTGTGTATATGGTACTAAGGAACCAAACCCAGGGCCTCATGCATGCTAGGCAAGCACTCTACCACTAAGCCACATTCCCAGCCCTAATCAGCTAGTTCTCTAGAAGGTTCCCACTCTGTTGCTCTCAGGCTTCCCTAATGGCTCCTGCAGTATATGTAACTTAAAAATTTTTTTTTATTATAAAGGTGATGTACAGAAGGGGTACAGTTACATAAATAAGGTAAAGAGTACATTTGTTTTTGGATAATATCACGCCTTCTCTCACTCTTCAGTATTTACACTCTTGGAAGAAAACAAAAACCTAGGGCTGGCTAGGTCGAGCCAAAGGAAAATTCTCTCCCTTCTCTCTCCAGTGTTTACCATGATTTTTTTTTAAACCTCTATGATTATAAAGGCATATATTTTCACTGATAGAGATTTGGCAAATGCTGAGAACAGAAGACATCAACAACAACAGAGAAAAACATGAAAGTTGTAAACAGTTCTACTACAGATAACACATTCTCTAAGATGTGTCTGCCCAGGCTGGCTTCAAACTTCGATCCTAAGATCCCAACCTCCTGAATAGTTAGGTTTACAGGATTACAATTTTCTTTTCTTTTTTTTTTTTTGGGTCCGGTCGTGGGGCCTGAACTCTGGGCCTGGGCGCTGTCCCTCAGCTCCTCAGCTCAAGCTAGCGCTCTACCACTTGAGCCACAGCGCCACTTCTGGCTTTTATCTCTTCGCTTATGTGGTGCTGAGGAATCGAACCCAAGGCCTCAGGCATGCAAGGCAAGTGCTCTACCACTGAGCCACCTTCCCAGCCCCACAATTTTCTTTTTGTGAATGAGCTCATGTATGTTGTATTTTGTGACCTAAATTTTGACTAAGTCTATTATACTTTTCGATCACTAATTTTCTTCTTCATAGCAATTTTTAAATGGCTGTGTAGTATTTTATTACTTTCAGATTTTCACAAAAGTTTATTTAATCCCCAAGCAATTGGCCCTTTAAATTGCTTCTGTGATTGCTATTATGACTAAAAGTTCTAGTGCACATTTTT